TGCATATCAATTTATGAATATATTCATATGTTCTGGTTGGCTTAGGCTATTCATTCCTCGTACATGCATTTTGAACCATAAAAAGCAATTGATATGAATATTTTGGCCATAAATCTGCAAGTGTTAAAACCGGAAGTTACGCAGAATCTACTTCCGGTTTGTTATTTTTTCATATTTTTCAAATATTTCTTCTACAAGTATAGAATTTGTTTCATTATTTTTCTAAAATGATGATAATTGAAATGTTAAATATACATTTCCTTCTAATATGAATATTTTGGCCATAAATCTGCAAGTATTAAAACCGGTAGTTACGCAGAATCTACTTCCGGTTTGTTATTTTTTCATATTTTTCAAATATTTCTTCTACAAGTATAGAATTTGTTTCATTATTTTTCTAAAATGATGATAATTGAAATGTTAAATATACATTTCCTTCTAATGTGAATATTTTGGCCATAAATCTGCAAGTATTAAAACTGGAAGTTACAAAACATCTACTTCCGAATCGTGATTTTTTCATATTTTTCAAATATTATACAAATGTACAACAAATGAAATATATGAGTTAAAACTTCAATCTTGAATTTTTGAAGACATATATACAAGGTCTTTCCTAAACTAAACATGTTTGGATATATATATATGAATGCTTGAATTTCCGGCATTCCTGTGCTGCTCCTGCAGTATTTTGGTAAGCTGCTCAATCAAGATGGCGTCTTGCAGGAGTATTTTGTTGCTCATGACTAAATAGACTTGAAGTACCTCATTTGTGCATCCAGGCTTTACCAATTAAGACAGCTTAAACGTGCTAACGCCGTTCCTGACCAACTGATGTGTTTCTACAAAACCTGTATCAGACCTGTAACAGAATATGCGTTTCAGACTTTCCATGATGGTCTTCCTCGCTACCTCTCTGAAGAGCTAGAAACAATTCAGCGACGAGCTCTTAAGATAATCTCACCCGCCCTGAACTATGAGCAAGCTCTTAATGAACACAGCATGACGACCCTTCACCAACGGCGCAAAGACCTGACAGAGCAGCTCTTCAAAGAAATTAATGATGACAGTAACCATAAGCTGTATAGCCTATTACCTCCGCGCAAGTCCACCAACATAGCCCTCAGGAGGAGGCGAACATTCAACACACCAATTTGTCGTGCAAATAGATTTAAACAAAGTTTTATTATATTCAATAGTATTAACCATTTTTCAAATTTTTAAACATATACAATATATTTTTATCTTAGCTTTTTAAGTAATTCAATTTTTCAATCCTTAATTTTTCATACATTATTATATATATATTTATTGCTTATTTTTTTGTAATTGTCCGTTATCCAGCTTTATGGCTGCAAAGGATTTAATAAAGCTATCTATCGATCTATCTATCTATTACGCGATGAAAAAACTAATTTTACATGAAATCTACAGACAAACAATATCCAATACATGGCCGCGTTTTTGCAGTTAATCGCATGAGTCCGGCAAACATCCAATTTTTTTTCCGGATTTCGTTTTTCAATTTTAAGTATGATCAGAAGCAAAGTGTGATTTGAGATGTTCTTATCATTGCAGCCATTCGACGGCTGCTATAAAAAGCAAGCAATTGTATCGGGGAAAAAAATCTCTAGGACAACTAAAATTGCAGAGAAAAAAGCAGGGGGAACTCAGTAGTATTCAAAATATTTTGATATTTTACCACGAGGCTTTTATTCGTGCGTTGTAACACATGAGTTCCGTATATGTTTAACCCGAGTATCAGACCTTAGAGGGCGTTAGAGACTGATTGGCCGAAGGTGCTAACGGCACAGACAAAGTACTTCACGAGATCTCACTACTTGGAAGTGATCCCATGAGCTAAAAACGTTTGAATTTAGAAACAGAAGTATCACGGCTAATTTAGACTAAAGTTCACATCTCAGCACTAGACTTGCTTTCGAAACAAAATATATTACTTTGCAGCAAAAAATAATCGTACTCAGTCGATCTCCATTCACTTTGTTCATGTCTAAGTCGAGATTTAAAGCAAAATTGTCTGTCAATTCGCTATTATGAAAGAGGCTCGCTAAAAAGGCTCGCGGCTCGCACATAAAGGCTCGGGCTCGCAGGCTCGCACATTAGTTACACTCATTTACATCGATAATAACAGATTTAGCAACGAGTAATGTATCGTTGTTGTACAGCTTGTTTGTGCCTTACCGTGTTAGATGATTCATTCTCTGGCTATGTAATTTCCCAGCACTGGGGATCGGTAGGTCGGGGTTCAATTGACGGATGCATAACCTGCATATGATTTTTGCCATTCTTTCATTTGCTTTGACATATATTTTTTTCTGACTATCTATCTAGCTGACGTTGCGCGTGGATCAAATGGTGAAGTAAATAAGGAATACCTGAAGAAAAAAAAATTTTCAAGAAAACATAGACAAAAGTTCACATTGGACCTGCTCAATGTGATGGCAAGACTGGGCGAGGATTATATCTGGATCAATCGAACAAAAAAGGCAGAAAGGACTTTTAAATTTCTGGTGACTTTGACGTCAGAAAGGGAAGAAGCATCTAGATTTTTCAAGAGTATGTTTGCTTATTCATTTTTTTTTCATTCATGCGCTGCTCGCAAAGTGAGTTGATTATACCTGCTCATTCATTGTCTATCAGAGAACAAGACCAAACAATGAGTGAGCGAGATGAACCCACTCTTAACTAAAAGGCTTTAAATTTAAGATGCTTGGCTAAGGGGCATTTCGTACCCACATACATCATAAATTCTCTGCAAAATAAGAATTTTTCTAGCTCTACTAATTTTAATTAAAATACTTATTCCACGAAATCGCACATCAGCTAGCCAATGAGATTCCGGCCGAGTCAGTTACCAGTGGGATAACTGTTTTATTATAATCACTGCCAGAACATAAGAAAATGAATTGCACTCTCTACACATACACTCTACACTCTCATGCCTAAAGTGAAATCTAGCTCTCTACGCCTCAGAAACAATAATAGCCTACGCCCTAGAATAAATACAGAAAGATTTAAAAATAGTTTTATTGATAGATTACATTTTAGATATCACTTGGCAAATTACCATAATCTTATCTATTTACTATTTTACATTTTATTAAATTATTTAAATCATTATTTATACAATATTTGTAAGTATTTTTAGCATTTAGTTTTGCTGAATCATTTATTAAAGACATTAGTATTATTAGTATTATTATTTCTGAAACAAGTGATGTCACAGACGCTGTGACACTCCTATATAAGGCATGGGCGTTCCTAGTAATGTGCTACTGACAATTTCAAATCAGATTTTTTCCCTTTCTTTTATATAGTCTCAAAGCAAAGGTTGGCATTTTTGAACAAGGAAGGGTTTGACAGATTTGGTAGAAATAAGTATTTGGCGCCACTTTTAACATGGGAAACATTCAAGGAACAGCTTGAAGGAATTAAATCGTATGCAATGGATTATGAAAATGCATATAATCAACTGCAGGAAGCCATTAACAATGAAGATAACACAGACGCGATATCGAAAAAGCTACCAGAGTCAGTCCTAACTCAAGTAAAGGAACAAAAATCAAGACTAATGGAGGATAAGAGGATAGCACTTACCGAGAAAGGGCTTTATGTACCGGTATGTTATTTTTATCTGTCTATTCATGACAAAAACTTATACATAATTATTGAGCTATTAGGCCAATAGAATGAGCCTATTTGGTCACATGCATGGACCTTTATACCTGATAAAACACTAAGAATACTAATAAGGATGACCTTTATCAGATATAAAGATCCATGACCCTAGGTCTCAGGTTTGATACCTGATCATTGACCAATGCAGGATGTCAACCGATGAGGCATTACATTTTGTAACTTTAACTTCGTTTTAAAAGTTCTAAATACTGAGAGGCCATGAATTTCATCAGGCAAACTAAGGAAGTATTTGTATCAGTGCTAAGAGTAAAACTTCTGTATTCGTGAATACTCGTTTTGTCGATAAAGTATAGTCAGCCGCTAGGTCTAGTGAGTCTGGGTCTCCCTTATTACAACTCCCCCAGTCGTCTGTCGTCTGGCTCAGGAATAGACGCAAGCTATTTTATAATACAGTCCTGCTATGGTTTGTACCCTGAGTTCCCGACCAATACTCAGCCGTTCTATACGTGAGCTAAAAGTATTTTTCTCATCATTAGGCCATCAAGGAGCTGGAAGTAATTATGAGCAACGCTCTGGTTCGAATAAAGGATATTAGTGCACAATTGTCCACCGATGCAGAGTTTACCATAGAGGATATGTTTGCCATAATGCAAGGTATTACTGGATTCTTGGGAGACGTTTTAGGAGGGGACCCATGGGCCGCATTGGGTACCTTTTTGGGAACTTATGCACACTTTGCTGTAAAATGCACACTTAGCTCCTTAGGGGAAATCAAAGGAAAGCTAAATAAATGGCTAACGTTTGGCAAGGAATACAAAGCTCTTCAAGACTCTAGTGAATTGGATTTTGATAGATTAGATCCAGGAGCTGTACCAGAGGTTATGCAGGTATGCTGACAATTACATGTGTGGAAGATATTATATGGGCGTAGGGAGCGAATTTTCAACAAGAGGAGATGAAATCCGTATCTTTGTACGGCCATGCATTTAAAGTTTTTCTTAATATTTCTCAATAAATCGAACTTKCACGTGACGAGGTCGATTGAAATTGCTTTACATGGCCAGAAAATCCGGACATTTGAGCCCGCAATCGCAGCGGTACTTCGCATAAATGCATAAAAACATGTTTGTAAATTTTACAAAGAAATGTATGGATCAAAAAAAATATTTGAGAATCTTTTCATCTGTTTCAACTGGAAAGATTCCATTCTTAAAGGGAAACTATTCTTGATTCCACTGTAGGAAATCCAAATAAATCCAATATTGTTAACAGCGTCCTTTTTGACAATTTATTTTCCTTTCGTCGTCTCCCTTTGGCCTTTTATCTCATGGTGAAAATTCGCGAAGAAGCGAAATTTTACCGTAGCTGATCGTGTTCCTTTACATATCACTGATATTCCATAGATCATTTCTCCACATATAAAGTCCACATATTGAGGTAGGAACACAGTGRTTTTCAGCTATTTTGAAGACAATCAACAGCGCCCTTTTTTGTACTAGAAATCGTACAATTTGAAAACACTAACTTGACGGTGAAATGGCTGGCGAAGACGCGTGTCTCACGCGAATAATTGGCTTAATCTTCCATTTTATTATCCATGTTTGGTACCACAATAAACCTTAGAAACATGGCTTTCAGACTGGGACTGCTTTAATTTTGGAGGTTTTTACTGGCGCCTTGCGCGCACTGGCAAATAGCGCAGATAGCGGGAAATACGAACGAAAGATAGGCCAATCAAGCCTAGTGTAAACAATGTCAGACCTTTTAAATTCCTTAGAAATGTACAAGTATAGACAAAAGATCACAATATCAACTGATGATCATTGTTTAAAATACCTGAGGGAAACGTGTGTTCCATCAAATAATATTATTTACACTATGAACATTCCAAACGAGCATTTCACAAGCCACTAATGATCTCAAGGATGATCAGGGCGTGCTATCCCAATACTCGTTTGTCGGTGTTTTGAACGTTCCGATTTTAGCCCAGTATTGTATTAAGATAAAGGATCGTTGCACAAGAGTAGAAAATTTGATCTTCAAAAGTTCAAACCACAAGGGAACTTGTAGAAAGCTCTATGGGTGGGAAAACCCGTTGACTTGTCCCGGGCTCAAATGTCCGGACTTTCTGGCCATTATTTATTTTTAAGTCCTTATATCCCATATCAGTTGCTAATAAAGCATTATACAGTACGATATTGCACTCCGAGTGGAAGTCTATCCCAGTTGACAATTCGTCGCTGACCAAAAAATGTTTAAAAGCGGCTGAGTAATTAGAAAAAAAGTCGCTTAAATCTACGGCGACAATTCCGGGACACAAGGTCAGTTAAAATTGCCAAAATCTCTTTAAATTTGTTTGTGTGTGCGCATGCCTCGAATTTGGTGACTTTTGATAATAGCAGTTGCTCCTCTGAGGATCGTGTGTATTCCACTACCTATCATCAATTTTTACCTATATTATAGAGCCCTTTCGATTTTAAGAGGCTGTCCGCGTAAGAACGGATAAGGCAAATTTCGGCCCCTCACCGATTTTTCTAATTTTTTCACCAAAAGTCAACAATTATATACTATGAAATATTATCGCGTTTATTTGGAACAATTCGCATTTTTAGGGACTTTTTGAGACGATTTTCGACAACAGCCTAAAACTTGCAAATTAACCATCGGGAAACCTGTATTCAAACAATGTATTCGAGTCGCCGCTAAAAATTTACTATTTATTGAAATCAACTCAAATTTTCACAAATCAAATTTACAACTTATGGCTGTAATTCAAAGTGTTTCTATCTCAATTTGATAAAAAATTTGAAAAATATCAAATACTTTGAAAATATGCATTAAAATTGTAAAACGTCCGAGGCGCTAAAATACCCGAATTCGAAGGCGATTTTCTCGAAAGTGGGACTTAACCGAGAGTTAAGTCTATTATCGCCAAACTCTGCAAGGAACAGTCTATGTATTCATCAAATAAAATTTGTGGGCACTTTTATTTTCATGCCGTACAAGAGCGTCGAAAATCAAGCATTTCTGGCTGGTTTAATCTAGCTGATAATCGACAAGGTGAAAGATTAACTACAAATTTTGCAACAAAACGTACTATATTTGTCAATCTTAATCACTAAAAGACGTTTCTTTGTTTAAGTAGGCGTTCTAAATATGTTTTGAAANAGTATTTGATATTTTTCAAAATTTTTATCAAATTGAGATAGAAACACTTTGAATTACAGCCATAAGTTGTAAATTTGATTTGTGAAAATTTGAGTTGATTTCAATAAATAGTAAATTTTTAGCGGCGACTCGAATACATTGTTTGAATACAGGTTTCCCGATGGTTAATTTGCAAGTTTTAGGCTGTTGTCGAAAATCGTCTCAAAAAGTCCCTAAAAATTCAAATTGTTCCAAATAAACGCGATAATATTTCATAGTATATAATTGTTGACTTTTGACGAAAAAATTAGAAAAATCGGTGAGGGGCCGAAATTTGCCTTATCCGTTCTTACGCGGACAGCCTCTTAAAGCACGACGTGCAAAACAAGAAGACATTCCACGAGAAACGTTCATAAATGTGTTTAATTTATACTATTATAAACATAACAATTTTTTTTATGTTTTTCTTGAAAAGGCAAACCTTGACATGAACAAAGAAGGTCTTACAGCTGATCTTGTGTGCTTGCTGACGGGAAGGCTACCAGAACACCACAGCGGACTTGCAGAATTCAATGAACAAATCGAACGGTTCTTCATTGCCGGTTCTGCAAGAATCGATCTCATCGCGAAAGTCATTGATTTAGACAATGACATCGGTGGCCACAACTTCAACATACCAAATTTGGAGGAGACAGCAAGCAAAATTGAGAATCTTCGTAATAGTGAAGGTAAGAATGTCAGAAATTTTCGTTCGTTCGTTCGCTTGTTAGTTGGTTTGTTGTTTGGTAAATTAATTAGTGACATTCTATATTTCGATTTTACACGCTCTAGGATCTCCCATCGCTGAGAACATCCAACAAACGTTTCTTGACGATCTCTTGACTTCTTATCAGAACATGGAAAACACATTTTTACAGAAACTGTGGCTGCTATACAAAAGCTTTGAGTTTCGCACACTGTGGCCTGTCAGTGACAGCTTGATTGGTTTTCAACGGACTACAAGCGAGGCAGCTCCGACCACTGGGCAGCTCCAAGGCATTGTTCAGCTAAACAAAGTCTTCCAGGAGATAGATCAAATTGAGAATAAGGGACAAAATTGTTTCACTAAGTTTGGATACGTCACTGATACTCATAAGTGGTCTTTTGATCAAGAACAGCACATCGCAGTATGTATTCAAATATTTAATTTTGAACAGGGTTCGTGCAAGATTTTCACTGCAAAATTCCAGGACTTTTCAAGTACTTTTTAAGCATAAAAATGCGATTTTCCAGGAGTAATATTTTTGAAGATATTTTTTGATGTTTGCGGACATTTCAAGTGGCGTTTTTTTAAATAGCTACATTTCGATCCAAAAGCTAACAATCAACATGTCAATTTTATCAGATTCAAAGAGTTTTCCAGGAGTTTCAGCGATTTTCCCAATTTACAAGGGCTCTCAAGCGCCCTTGAAAACGAGTTTTCAATTCCAGCACGAACCCTGTTGAAGTTAGCCTGCGTGTCGGCTCTAGGGGAGGGGGGAGAGGGGATGGAGAAAACGGAAGGGGATGGGGTGGGGAGGCCGGCTACTAGAGGTCATTGAGCCGGAAATGGTTCGTTACTTGTCAATTTCATATTATGTGTTTGTCGCCTTCTTATTACCAGATTTATTTATAGTTCAAAGCGCCTTTCGAAAAGCAAACACACTACGGTATTCAAATTCAACAAAGCAACACATGAATTTCGTGTATGTACGTTATGACATTTGACCTTTATCTTTCTATAGCATAAAGACTCTTTGAACTTTTGCTGAAAGGTTCGGCTGTACGTAGAATACACATTCACGGATGCTATTTTAAAAACATGTAGATACTTATGCTACTCTTTACAAAACGACAAAAATGAAAATCCGAATCTATATAGCCTATCCAACAGAGATACACACGACTTGTTGGACGATCAAAATCACAGTTTTCCCTCACTGACTTTTCAATCTAGCGATCAATAAATTCGACTTTGTAAACCATCTTTCCGTGTTGTTTTGGTTTTCAGAGTTCTCGAAATAGCCTGGATATCGTTATTTTGACAGCAAATTGAAAACGTCAATCACAGCGCTGATTTAAACCAATCAGGAAGCGCGGCCTCTGGAGGCCGCGAGTACACGATTTAGCGGCTCGTTCTGGCAGGCTCTCCATTTTTCCGCTCCGCCTCCCCACCCCCTCCCCTTCCGTTTTCTCCCTCCCCCCTCCTCTAGAGCCGTCACGCAGGCTATGTTGAAGTTTCCCAACTCCATCTTGTGAGAAAAACGTACCTTTGTATCAAAACGAGACAGTTGAGATCTGACATGTCGTCCTTGCCCAAATGTATAAAATTGTATGCATTTACCTCTCTGCTCACGAAAAGGCTTTCGGCACCTTTCAGATAGTGCAGTGAGCTATTATGGTGTTAGAATTGTTTTCTGTCGAACGTTGAAATGTAGAAAGGATTCACACTCATTACTCGACAATTTATCTTTATCACCTTGCATTAACCAGGTAGGTATTTTCCATACACATTATTCCAAAATGGCTATCTAGCCCTTGATGTCTTGTTTTCATAAAATCATTCTTTTGTCTTTGAGCTTGAGTGACTTTAAAAGAACAATCTCATGAAAACGAGACATCAAGGGCTAGTCAGCCATTTTGGAATAAGCTGTATTAGCTTCAAGCTTGATTGAAAAACACGATCATTTCATTTATTATTACATCTCAATGTGTCTGACGTATTTTTGTTTGTTTGGCAGTTGTTTAACAGCCTACATCAAGGTAAAGCATCGTTTCACCTTCATATAAAAGACAGCTGTCCAACGTGTTTCAACGTTCGTGTGCTAAAGGTGAGAATCTCTTTGGACAACATTGGCTTTATTAGATATATACACAATGAAAAAAATAGTGCATAGTGGCTTTTGGAGATAGAGAAACAGATCTTATCGTTTTGTGTTAAAATATATTTTTAACACTCGAAAGATAACATCTGTATCTCCACTCGCCATTGTAATATCCTCTATTTGATTCAATCCATTACCTATGTCCCAGACGTTACTGCCAGTTTTCAGTCATCAGGCATGCGGTAAGTTATAGGCTTACAGGTATTATTTTCAGTTACACCGGTAGAAATATACGATACAGTGATGAAAACTGCACAATATATAAGCAATATTTTCAACACAATGCGAATAAAGTTAATGCCGAATCGAAAACATGAAAACTAATGGTAATCCATCATGCATGCAACTGTGGCCAAGTGAAGTTGTGTCACTTTGTAAACTCCACGTGCAATTTTATGTAGTAATTATTATTAGTGTTTGACTTTTATCTGTCAATTGGTTTTGCTTGTTCCGGAAGTAAGTTTGTTTGTATTCCCTAATATGGTGTTCTTGTAAATGTCATCAGCTTGTGTTTTATGTGATTAAACCAGTTCTGTCCTACCCTTCAAGCAGTAAGGTTCTGTTTGTCTGGGTATAAATGTAATATGTAGCCTATTTAGTTGAAATCAGAGTTACATACTCTAACCGTAACTTTGTGAGGTTATGGCAATCATCCACTAGTGAGAGTCAAATACTCTCAGTAAATTAGGACCTTGGCCCGGTCACACAACAATGAGATTGTCAATTTCCAATTCACTTTCTAACCAAGCGTTTCTTTTGAGCACTGTCCAATTTTTGCGGTGGCCTTTCTACCTTTTGGTTGCTAAAACGCTCTTTTGCAAAATGCCCGAATAGTTTATTCGACGTCCGACTCGCAACTTTGATTGCATTAAAGCTCTCGCCGTTTTATACGACTAATCTACGTTTCACGTGCTATTTGATATTCAAAAACTCATACATAATTAATGAGTTATTTGGCCAATAGAATGAGCCTATTTGGTCACATGTTTGGACCGTTATATCTGATAAAACACTCTCCTTATTAGTATTCTTTATATAAAGAATACTAATAAGGGTGACCTTTATCAGATATAAAGGTCCATGACCCTAGCAAAGTTCTCAGGTTTGATACCTGATCATTGACCAATGCCGAGGATGCACTCTCTCTCGTGTTTTAAACTATACTTATTACATGGGCTTCCGAAGGAAGTCCATGTCATAAATTACAAACGGGCAGTAGGCCAGTACTTCATGTACCACAAAATGAATAGGCACCATCAGTAATATGTAGATCGCTGTCTTAGGTAGGATCTTACATGAAGTACTAGCCTTTCCTTGGTCGTGATTGTTAGGCTTCAAATTGCACAGTAATTCATGTACTACCCATGAATTGGCTCATAGCTAATATCTACATAGGATCTTATGCAGAGTCTTATAGTTAGGTGTTACATGAAGTATTAACCCGTCCTTGGTCGTCTTGACTCGTGGAGAGCGAAGGCAAAGTAGTTCGATAGAAAAAATCAAGCTACGAACGCTGTCCTTACATACAAACGCACACGCCATTCGTGGTAGGCCTACACTAAAAGATTCTCAAGAGGAGTCGACGGTTTCCTGGGAAAAATATATCTGTTCTTATGTCCCAGCCAGCTGTAAGTCACAACTGGTTGACAGCAAAATTATATTACATTTTTTTATTCCAGGAGAGAAATAGGTTCAAAGAATTTTTCCCAGGAAACCCATTACGTCCATTGCAGGAAGGAAAATCGTGAATATCTTTTAAATACTCGAGTGCTTTAGCGATCCGAAGGGAGAGATTTTCCCAGACTGGAAGGGCCACAGTTGCTTGTCAAAATTCTAGTTCAAAATCCCTTTCCCAGGAAATAAATGTACAAGAACAGTTATTTTGAAGAACAGACCTCGTCGGCTCCTCCTGGATTCTCAGCGTAATTTTCGGAACGGGCCGGTCAACGAATCTATTTTAGCATGAATTGATAGCGTTTATATTATCTTATTTACTGTCTTTACTCTTGTTAATACTAGTTCTTACGAGATAGCAAATACAAATGAGCCAAATACGACTCAAACCTACAATGTAACTAGAAAACTACAATACCTGACACGGTAACTAACTCATGATTGCTTGAAGAAATCAAAGGCAACTGAAACCAACTATCCTAATAAATGAACGACTAATTCAACAAAGCCGCCATTTTATTCTCGCGAAGGAGTCGCCATTGTTTCGATTTCTTAATTCATTTCTTTCAGTAAGTCTTTGGATAACTATATTTTTTAATAGTTGTATGTACTAAATATAGAGAGTCATTTAGCAAGGTTTTTATTATAGTTTTTGTTGTAATAATCTTTCAACTGATTGCTATATTGAGGTATAGTTTAAAACACGAKMKMGAGTGTTTTAAACGGCTTAAAAAACTCCAACTAATTTGAAACTCAAATTCGTTAAAATTCTTGGAGAAATTGCCGTACAAATATGTTCAGAGATAAATGGGGCAAACTGATCATGCGCGAATCACTTTACAAAGCACTCTTGTCATCCCACATTGAATACGCATAAAGTAAAATAGAACCGCTCTTGGCTGTTCAATGAAATCGGTTGACATCCTGCATTGGTCAATGATCAGGTTTCAAACCTGAGACCTTTGCTAGGGTCATGGACCTTTATATCTGATAAAGGTCACCCTTATTAGTATTCTTTATATAAAGAATACTAATAAGGAGTGTTTTATCAGATATAAAGGTCCATGCATGTGACCAAATAGGCTCATTCTATTGGCCTAGTAGCTCATTAATTATGTATGAGTTTTTTAATTTAACATTAAGATTACTATAAGCTGAAGGATTGCAATGACAGAAATATTGTAACTACCTCTGAGATGTAAGTCATGTACAAGATTGTTCATATTAATAAGAAGTACATTGTATACAATGACAGAAATATCACAAACTACCTCTGAAATGTATTAAGTAATGTAAAAACGTATTATCGTATTGATAATAACTATAATTTATTTCATTTTTTTAGTTTATCATTTAAACTTCATATTTCACCCTTTTTTAATTTTACTAGTCAAGCTTTTGACCCAACTGTGTCATCACAAAATGGATAATCTAAATAACATTCTTACATTTGAAAAAAGAATGCACAAGAAAACTTTTGTTATTAATTTTAACAAGATAAACATTCCGGCAAACAAGCTACATAAATCACATTTGATTTCATAGTTTGAATATTTTAGAGTTTTCAAATTATAAATACTAACAAATAGCGGCTGTTTAGAGACAATTTGTCACTGAACCAAAACACAATGAAGATAAACCCACATAAGACCATTTTTAATTCATCTATATTGAGTTCTGGTTCATTGATATTATTGATAATAGCCACTATTTGAAATGTAAGTATTTAGTTTGATTTTATTTCATGGTTTACCTGGATTTTCTCTACTGCATTGGTGAAAAGTTTAAAACATGGTTCATGGTCTAATTTGATAATTTTAATGAAGTTGTTTGTTAAATATAATTCTGTTCAATAACTATACATTGTTCTTTACTTGACAAATATTACAGTGCTTTTCATGAACATGAAATCTCCCACTTGAATACCACAAATTACAGTTATGCAAGAGCCAGGGGACAATGACAAATGAGCCACAAAACTTTTGGCTGTGCATGTCAACAMTACTGAGATCAGCAAATACTGACTAAATGRTTATTTACAGTGAAATCAAAATGATCCAGTGTCACCTAATGCACAAGGAAGCCCATGTGAGCGCTCACTGAGCGTCTAGTTTCTACACAAATTGGTCTGATTTATTAATTACGATCATATTATGTGTTTCAATCGTCATTTCCCCTAAAAACGTATTATTATTTTTTTGTGGAAACATCATATACAGGGACCGCGGAGCGGTAATTTGTTTAGGGGGGCTATCGGCTGCAAAGGCAGGAGGTACTAGGTGGAATCCGGGGTAATTACACACCGGAAAATTTTGAAATCTTAACTCTCGGAAATGTCATTTCCAGCGTTTTGAAGCATCAGTATCCCAGACATATTTCTGACCGCTAAAACCGCACACACGGTCACACGATATTCAAAAAAGTCCCAAAGACTTCGCAAAAAGGTTCAATAATTTTTCATGCTTGGTTTTTACACAATCTTAAATACAATGAAAAGTGAAATTTCATAAGGAGGCTCTGCGCTTCTTTATTTAAGAAAATTC